TCTTTGATTTTAGGCAAACATTTAAATGGCTTATGTAAAAGAGCTTACAAATATTTGGAATGCCCATTTCACTGGCTAAGCATTACGTTGTTTGTCATAACAATACATGCGAGCAAAACAACATGCATACAGGGAACTTTATTGTATGAATATCATAAAACATATATGACTATATACTCGTATAGAGGTAGGTAGATGTAGGTAGAGGAAGGCAGTTCGGTCGGTCGGTCGGTACGGATGCGCCTACAAGCGTAAAATGGCAACGAACTTCTCTCTCGCAATATAAAATCACAATTACAAATGCAGGCAACATTTTGCATAATTTATGTCAAGTACGAAACAACGGCAACAAAGCAGACACACACACACACTCACACACATGTACATTCATAACACTTGCATGGCCATAAATAAGTGCAGGTTTAAATACCACGGCAACAATTGTGAAATATGGCAGAATAATAGAAAGCAGCAGCGCCAGAAAGCACAAAATGTAACTACAAGTAGCTCGCTATGACATGCAACAACATTAACAAGAACAACAACAACAACAACAGCACTATCTGCACAGTGACACAAAATTGTAGCAAAACTATAACTTCATGCCTAATTTTGTGCATGTTTGAGTTGCTTTTGGCCTTTGGCCCTTTTTAAGACTTTATCTGTAGAAGAGTCAAGAAGGCCGTCTACGAGTTAAGTTGTTGCCACAAACGTACTGCCTTGTCAGTGTGCAACAACTACAACAGCAGTCACAAAAGTCGGGGGCGCCACAAACAACAAAATGGACCAAAAAGTTATTTTAGGCGCAATGGCGAGAAAAGTGCGCGTTGTTTTAAAAATAAGCAGAGAGCGTGAAAATGAATGTAAAAAAGTAACTAAGAAGTAAGGCAATGGCAACTGTGCAAGAAGGAAAGAAAGAAACGTAACTGAAAATGGAAAAGTGGAAAACACAGCGGGTTAACAAACACAAATGCTTGATGTTTTATAAGCGTTTGTGTGTGTGTGTTTGTGTGAGTGTCCGCATTCGTGCAACGATGCCCTGTAGTTCGATTGGTGGCGGTTGCGGTTGGCGATAGCGCCAAAGACACCCCTAATGGCGGGCTCAAGGTCGTTGGGGTACTGCGTTCGTTTAAACGAGGTCCTACACCAGAGCACCTTTTTCTAAGGACACTTAACACTTCACCAAAGGCTTGCCATACTTCAGCTCTTAACAATCCAATGAAAAGGCACCGGACTGCAAGTCTATAACAGCTTAGTGTTAAATAGCACTATTAAAGTTTGGTCTGGTGTAGTTCAATTTAAGATAATAGCACGCCCTGGCGAATGATCGAATGATCGCAGTTTTTTCATTTAACAATAAAGCGTAGCAAGCAGAAGGTGTCACATTAAAATTTCGAAGTGAATTAATGGACATTTTGAATGTTAACAACGTTAAAAAACTACAACAAAGAAAACAGTTGGAGACTAAAAATAATGTTTCTCAATTAAAATCAATCCGCTTAACACAGTCAAACCTTAACTTAATAACTTATTCCGAACAAAACTACCCAATTCTGAATTAGGGCTTTCAGAATTTCATGATCACATAATTACCAAAAATAAAATAAGACAACTTGTGTGTGAAAAAGTTAAACCTAATTAACAAGGAAATGAAATCGGAAATTCCAAACTATTTGTAATGTTTTTCTTGTAGAAAATCAGATAGAGTCAATATACAATACACACATATGGGTACATAGGCTGAGAAAGTTTGAAAGACTAAAACCTTATTTTGTTCAGAGGGAATCCAACTTTAGAGCAAGTGCGTATAAGGACATAGACTTAAGACCATATACGCCATCGTGTCAGAAGCACTTTTTAAAATTCTAATGGGTCAACTTTCTCTAGCAGACAACTATAGTAGTTAATTATTATTAGTTGGATTAAAAGACATATATCTTCAAACATACATACTTTCGAAATTCTGCAATTTTCTTTGCAAATTATTTGCCCGTCTTGCCCAAAGCTAACATTTTTATTTATGCTTTTGTGTTTTTGGTTGCTTAGCAGCGTTTAAAGCGGTTAATTATTTGGCCATCCATGTTTACGACCACCAGTCTTGCCCTATTCAATATAATTATGTCAGATTTAGAGCCAATTGAAGTTTCATTTTGGCGCTTGATCCACCCCTACCTAAGCACTTAATTACCTTTCATACTACGCCTTCCTAAATTTAACTCTAAATCGAAAAAATTTAGGCATTATCAATGTGTATACTATAGACGGTATTAGGCGCCCCGAATACCCTTTTTAGCTTAAGAAATAAGTGTGCTGCGTTGAACAACAGGGTTAAACTGTGTCCATGTGTATTTGTATGTATGTGTGTGTCTGTATGTGTGTTGCGCGCGTGCTGTTTAAGTAATCTCGAAACAATTATGCATATACACACACACACACACACACACACACACTCACACACTCGCTTAGAAATCTGTGGCGCGTGATGCTCAAAAGTAGCCCAGCAAAAATGTTTGCCATTAGCATAAAAAATAATGGCAAGTGCCCAAAAGCAGCACCAACAACAATGCCAACAACAATAGCAGCAACAAAGCCATGGCAACAAAACAATAACAAAAAGAAACCAAAAAGCAACCCATCTAAACAAAAGTCTATGGGCATTTCATGGTGCTGCAAAACGTGTCGTATGTGTGGAATATACAAAACATATCCATATAAACAAGCAGACATTGTATTGTATATCCATTCATGTGTGTGGTTGCGTGTGTGTGTGTGCGGCTCGCTTTCGAGCCATTTTTATCGAAGACTTAATCCTTTTGTCGACAAAATAAAATTGGCGTCCAAATACCATGGCTTTTTGTTTCAGTTTTGCTTTCCTCTCACCTGCCACAATACTAATACACTAACAAGATGAAATTCTTTTTTTGAGGGAACGTTAACAAAAAACCCTTTTCTACTAAAATTGAATAAAGTTGAAATATTTCAATTTGCAATAGTTGATTAAAAATTATAATTAAACATACTTTCCCGTCAACAATATAAAATGTCGTTGCGCGATTTTATTCTAAACACAGAATTATGATGAAGAAAAAGAAAACCAAACGAGGAAATTAATTAATAGATACTGCTAGTTGAAAAAAACTGAAGCTTTGTAGATGAGTTAATCATTCGCTCAAGAAAGGCCTGCTATTTTAATACCAGTCTTTAGTACCAATTTTTTAAATACACCTTAGCACCTTAGCTGTATAATTAGTGGCAAATAAATTTCAGAACATTTACATTTTAACATTTTAAAATAAAATAACTTCATTATCATAGTATATAGTTAAATAAAGATTAAAGATTTTAAAAAATAGTATATATGTATAGTAATTACCAGCTTAGTAGTTAATGGTAATATTAACAATAATATTTTAAATTTTCTCCTTTATTCTTGAAATCCAAATATTTGTACGAGGTTTTCGTGATTTTTGGCACCTTATCTTCTTTCTTAAAAAAAAAAATATAAATTTTCAGATAGATGCCTTTAGAATCACTAAAAAATTCCCTTTGACGATTCAGTAACACATAGGTAATAAAAAGGAAACAAAGTAAGACAAGTTTGTTTCAATTTAAATGCTATAGTCTTAAATACTTACATTTAAAAAAATTCTATTCATATTATGCTTAAAAGTAAAATTATTTTCTAAACCTAATTTATTTCAACAATTTTTATAAGGATTTTCTGAAGTACAAAATTTATACCAAATATCCATCGGTATAATAGTTTTATTTCTATTTTAAAATAATTTTAAAATCATTACAAAGTGTTTTGTTTTTCAAATATAGTGGCTTATTAATTTATTTATTTATTTAGGAATGATTTAGAATAATTTTCAATCTGATATGAAAGTATAAATGAGTCGCAAGTGGAAATGGTTTTTTGACTGGCATAGAGTTAAATATTAACAATTTTTAGGTCAAAAATTGATCAAAAGTTAACTGAGCCTTGGCTAAAAGATTCCATTGCTGTTTTAAAATGCAGTCCTATCACCTGAATAGGAGAGTACTGTCGTCCCAACCCTCAGTCCAAATACAAAACAGTTTTATTCTGGTATCTGGAAACCACAGTTTCAAGGGTCATCAGATTCATCTTCTCCCTTTGAAGTTCGATTGTCTAATTTTATTTTCCATGGCAATGACACAAAGCCGCTTTCTAAAACATATAACTTTTCTGAGTAAAGGGTACATTTATTTGGTTGGACTAAGCTGAGATAGAAATTTGTCCATTGTGTGTGTGTGATTTTTAAGCCCGTTGTTGCTCATTTGCCTACCATTTGCATTGTTATTCTTTTCATGTTTGTTTTTGTTGTTGTTGTTGGGGCCTCGAGCCTAGCCCAAAGCCAAGTGAATGCATATTTTTATGACCTATTCAAATGCCAATACATAATTTTCAGTGTGTGCCCGTGAGCGACAGATAATAACAATCAACAGAAAACGCTCGACCACGGCCAGGACGAGGCCGACGACAACGAGGACGCCGAGGACCAGAGCTGCGGAAAGTGGAAGGGGAAAAGGATAGGAAAAAAGGACAGCGGCAATTCCAAATGAGCGGCAACACATTCAAGGCGCAAAAACCAAAAGTGAGGCAAATAAAAATGCGATAAAATTGCCAACCATTGAGCGAGAGGAGGGGAGTGAGAAAGCGGTCGAGTGAGCGAAAGAGAGAGAAGGTGGGTGGTGAGTGGAAGTGGAGGTGGAAGCGTCAGTGAATGAGCGATAAGCGGGGCCAGCAATAAACGGCACAGTTCATGTCCTGTCGGCGCACTGTATAAAAAGGCGATATATATTCGACACCATTTGCCCGGCCCGGCCCGACTCGACTCCACTCAGCCCTAGTTGGCCATTCTTGTTGTCTGCAGCGTCATCGTTGCTTGTTTATAGTCGCCCATCCAAACCAACACACACACACACACACATTTGCAGATTCAAATGCCTTGGTGATTAATGGGCCAAGGGCCATTGCCAACGGGATGCGCATAATTCACGTGAGCAAGGCGAGATATCGCTCCCTGCGCCAACAGCAACAGCAACAAAAACAACACCAACATCACCAACAGCACCAACATCACCCACAGTCACAGTCACGACAGCAACAATGCGCTGTGACATGCCTGGGAGCGTTGCTGCTATTAACAATGCCATATGCTCTGGCCTGGACGCCAGTGGCAGCCGCCATGGAATCCTCAGCCGAGCTGCAAGCCATGGGCATGGAGCAGGAGTACGTCCGACTACAACAATATCAATTACAACAAGAACAACAGCAGCAGCAGCAGCAGCATCAAGCAGAAACTTCATTACATGATAAAGCGACGAGTGTGGCAATTAAGTTAATGCCGTTAAGCCAGCAACTATCGCCGTCAGGTGTTGATGATGCCACCAAAGGTTCAATTAGCCAAGTTGCCCAAAGTGAAACATATCGCAGCCGTCCAGGACAACAGCAAACAGCGCTGGGCGCTTTGCTGGACAATCAAAGTGTTGATGCAAAGCAGCCACGACACCAACAGCAACAGCAACAACAAGCACTTAGCCAACAAGAGGCTGAACAAGCTGGGCAACAACAACAACAACACTTAGCCTTGGCACAGGTGCCAGCAAATTGGAAATACAAACGGACGAAAGTCAAGCGACGTCAGCGACTGCACACGCACAGCAATCTGCCGAGCATCAATATGTCCAACTCCTCCACCGCCTACTTCTCCGCCTTCTCCACGTCGACGGCGGCGCTGCTCAGCAATCTGAGCAGCTGGCAACAACAGCAACGCTATCTAAAAGTTAACCAAGTGTTCGAGAGCGAACGCCGCATGTCACGCGCCGAGATCCAACAAAATCACGGCAAAATCGTGCTGCTCGGCCTATTCGAGCTATCCACCAAGCGCGGCCCAAGGCCGGACGGACTCAGCGAGCTGGGCGCCGCCACCATGGCCGTGGAACATATCAACCGCAAGCAGCTGCTGCCCGGTTACACGCTCGAGCTGGTCACCAACGACACGCAGGTGAGTGAGGCACGTCCGGGTGCGAGTCCGAGTCCGGGGGTACCCCTCGATAATAAATGATGTGTTTTTCTGTGTGTGGATGGGCTCTCTGTTTTTTCTCCTTTTGCCCTTCCTTTTTGGCGAAGGTTACAATGGATTTGTTAGATAAGTTTGCAACATAGAGTTGAAATCCTCTGGTTGATAAAGTCCTCGGTGTTTCAATTTCGAACATTTATCAAAAGTTAAGCAAACACAACTCAATCACCGATGGACCGTTTCTAAAATGCTTACATATCGTGCAGAATTTAAACAAAATGTAAAAAAAGTAACATACTTTTATGTTTGGCGAATTACGTAGATTATAAAAAAACACTATTTCTACATATTATCTACATTTGAGTCCGTTAAAAACTTCAAAATTAAACAGAATTCAAGAAATTGGCATACTTTTAGGTTTACGAAATAACTTCGATTTAAAAAAAAATATGAGTATACAGGGTGCGCCATCTTTTATATAAACATTGAATATCTTTGAAAATAAACAACCGATTTTCAAGTATGAGATATTTTTATTTAATTTGGTTCTGTACAATTTATTGAACTGAGGTTTTCAACACTGGTCTACTCAAGTCAATCGGTTCACTAATGACAAAGTTATTCAATATTTACATATGGCGTATGGCATATATGGCGCACCCTGTATATATACAAATATTATCAAGATTTGAGTTCATTAAAAATTTCGTGTAGAGATTAAACAGAAAGCAAGAAATTGGCATACTTTTAAGTTTGCGGAATAACTTCGATTAAAAAAAACTATATTGTCAAGATTTCAGTTCGTTATAAAATTCGTCTGGAAATTGAACAGTAAGCATAAAAAAACTAGCATAGGTTTAATTTTTTTTTAATTTTTAAATTTACATACAATTTATTAAACTAATATTCTGCTACCAATATGTCATCTGAAACGAGTTGCAAATTAATATTGAATAAAAATATTGTCCATAGGTATACATCTATAGGAAACCTGACGAATTACGTCGATTTAAAAAAAAAACGCTATATTATTAACATTTGAGCTCGTTAAAAATTTCGTGTAGAAATTAAACAGAAGGCAAGAAATTGGCATAATTTTAGATTTGCGGAATAACTTCGATTAAAAAAAAAGACAACTATATTATCAATATTTCAGTTCTTTAAAAACAGAAAGCAAAAACGAAAATACTTAGCATACCTTAAGTTTTTTTTTTTAATTTATATACAAGTTATTAAACTAGTATTTTGATACCAATATGGCAGTTTAAAGGAGTTGCAAATTAATATGGAATACAAATATTGACCATAGGTATAGATCTATAGGAAACCTTTAGGTTTGACGAATTACGTCGATTAAAAAAAAATATATTGTTAACATTTGAGTTCGTTAAAAATTTCGTGTATAAATTAAACAGAAGGCAAGACATTGGCATAATTTTAGATTTGCGGAATAATTTCGATTATAAAAAAGCTATATTATCAAAATTTGACTTCGTTAAAAGTTTAGTGCAGAATTTAAACAGAAGGCAAACAAATGCAGCTTATGGCAGCTTAAGCTATTTGGAATATTGTCCATAGGTACACTTATAGGAAATCTTTAGGCTTGGCGAACTACGTCCATTTAAAAAAAAAAAACTATATTTTAATAACATTGTAGTTCATTAAAAATTGCGAAGCACATTTAAGAAAATTTCAAATATATCATAACCTTTTGATTTGCCTAAAAAACTGTTTTTAAATAATTCTTAAATACTTTAAATAAAATAGAAACAAACAAAAAATACATATCGTATTACAAACCTTTTTTTTTGTGTATTAGCAGAGTGTTTATAATACAAGCAAAAATGAATTCATTTATTAGAGTCCTTAGTAACAAACATAATAGACCGATTTTATTGCTGCTTTTGTCGTTTCAATACAAACGCCATTTTAAAGGGTATTTCAGTTTCGTAAAATCGTTTGACAAAGTTTTTCATTTTGTGCTATTACTTTGTTATTATTTCTAGTTGTTTTCGGACACAACCAGCTGGTGCTGTTGGATGGGTCATAAGTCTAACCGGGCCAACATTTAGGCCAGTTGTAGGCTCTGCAGGGCTGTCAGCTCTGGGCTGTCCCTCCACAGGCGCTGGCTCGTAAAAGAGCGACAGCTACGGTGTCAGAGCCGTTTCCATTACGAAATTGAATTTTCATTTAGTAGCGCGTGCAACATTAAAACTTAATAAGAAAATCTGCAGCAGCAAAAGCCACACAGGCACCGGCAACAGTCGCTAAAAGAAAGATGTCATCAACGTATTTTATTGCGGAGGCCGCTTGCGCTCCGGAAAATGGTATCGTGCTCTCAATATGAATGTCAAGTCTGCAACTGAGGCGGCCTTCATCGTCTTTTTATGGCACTTAATATAGCTGGAGCGGGATGCCCGTCCCGATCTCATGCACATACACATACAAGTATAATATAGATATACGTACATATCACCAAATATCAGCGTCTCGACATTTTAAAATGTTTATTGCGACATCTTGCCGCTTTTTTATGCCCGATGTTGGCTGCCTCAGCATTTTGCGCGCTCCGTGAACCGCAAACATAAATGAAATGCATTCAAAGAGCATTTAACGCCGACTGAGTTGCCCCCGAGGCATTTCTTTGATGCCAGAGGTTGGACTGAAACAATTAAAATGAAGTCGCCACGGATGTTGCCACAAGGGGGGACAAGGCAAGCTTCCATCCATTCCCTTTATTTCCTTTACAATATCTGTTAAGAATTGCTTTCTTTATGTATACACACGAGCATAACATAATAGAATACTGGGCTATATACAAACAAGATGAATTGCTATTATTATAACTAATTTATCTGGTATTGGCTTTTCCTAGAAACGAGGTGTTATAATACAAACAATCTTTAATTGTTACTCAATTGGAAAACAGCTATCGAATTGCAGAAAGAAACTTCCTTCGGCTATTGATTAGCGCATAATCGTAACTAGCTACGCACGATTTTAGTTAATCAGAGCAAGTCTTACAACTCGTTCCGTTTTTTATCGTGAAGCATTTGAAATTGAATACCAAAGGGCGTAACAAAATACTTGTAAATCATGATGTAATTTACATAATCAAGATGAGATAATTAAAGAGATTATAGAATTAGATTAAGCTTATTAGATAGGCAGTAGGATACTAGTTTAATCATAATTTAATTCCATTCAATTTATTCACTTTTTTTAAAAACATAAAAACATTAAGCATTTACAAGTGAGGTAAAGATATCTTAAGCTTCTTTCACTTTCTACATAACAAAACAAAATTGGGAAATATAATTGACAGTGTAAAGCGGGAAAAAATATTTTAAGAAACACATAAAGCTTGATGACTTAAAGTTTAAAAATTATACATTTTTAGTTCTATTTTTAAAAGAAGAAGAATAGATAAAGGCAAAGCTTCAAGATTTTTCATTATCAATTGTTTTTCGAGCTATTAAATTAAAATTATTAAAAGGCCTTATTAAAAGGCCTTAATACCGATTGATAGTTGGCGGAACTTTGGATAAGCACCAGCTTTATACACTTAAATAAAAGATTAAACAAATATCTTGTATCAATGTAAATAGCTGCTGTAACAGAGATACTGTTTGGTGGCCAAAAGTAATACAATTATATTCATATATTAATGAGAATAACTAAGATATACTTGTAATATTCATAGTGTCAAACAGGAAATAGTTGAAGAACATACGATAGAGAACATACTAAATCCACGACTTATATGCAAACACCGTAGTGTATTCAGCATGTGTGCGTCAATTCTAAAATAAACTCAGTTACTCCTAAGGAATGGTTATAACTGCTTTCCGAAATGTATTTTGCTGTAGTCAGGCATACAAATAGTCGACTGCACTTCAATATATGAAACCTCACAAATCATCGCATACTTACTTTAATCAACAACAAAATTATTAAATTAAATTATTATTATTATTAGCTTATAATTCCATTGATATATTAAATTTTATTTAGGTTTTATAAGAGTAATGGCAATTGCCTCAATGTGCTACCTAGTCCACCAACAGCTTTGTTAAAACCAGACACTCCAGTCCATTAGACAATTTCCTAGAGAAATATATTTGACGCTATAAAAATACGCCGTCTACTCTTTAAAGTGTAGATTAAGCACAGACTATATAAGCCTACCGATTCCGTTTTATCATCTCAATGGCTGTAGAAAAATTATACACTATCCAGGTATATTTTCTTTTTAATTTTTTTGGTGTGTCTTTTTGCATCGAACTTTGAGCAGGGAACAGCCTAACATCCTCTATAGAAGATTGGTGTATTCATTAGCTCATGCGTTGCTCTGGCCAAACATCTATATGTTTGATTTGCGCAGTCAGCCTGTTTGAGATAGTTGGCTGGCCACGTACCCAATCAAATTACATGTCAGGTCGTATACATTTCCTCTTGAAAGACAGTGCTGACAACTGAATTGGCTGTTTAAAATCGAAAGTCACGAAAATTGTAACTCAATGAAATCAAAGATTATAATTGTGTTACGGTCGACACTAGAGTTACTCGAAGATATAAATAACTGGCAGCCATTTTGTAATTGTACATATATCCTATTCTATCTATTTATTGACAGTGCGATCCTGGGGTCGGTGTTGATCGTTTCTTCCACGCCATCTACACCCAACCCTCCACACGCATGGTCATGTTGTTGGGCTCGGCCTGCTCAGAGGTCACCGAAAGTCTGGCGAAAGTGGTGCCCTACTGGAATATCGTGCAGGTGAGTGGGTGAGATAGAGTCGTCGATGATTGCGCTTGTTAAAATGCAAATGCGCAGCAATTGCTCAAAAATTTAATCAACTCACGTGCCGCTCGATTAGCATAAATGCCACAAATGCCAATAAACATTTTCACATTTCCACGCTTAAATAAACACAAGCCAAAAATATGTGTGCCTACAAATTATAAATGAGGGAACAAGGATTACATTATGGATGGCGGGCGGAAGGGGGAGTAGGGAAGTAGGGGGGTCCGGATAAATTCTACATGCAAATGCGTTGAGTAAATTTTCGGTCTTTGAAGTAGCTTTATACACATATCGGATGAAATATGTGGCAACTAAATGCGTTGAGAAAACTTTGTAGACAACACACACTCACACACACACACACAAGCACAACAGAACGAACTTTGTCTGTGCTCTTATAGGGACTATCTGTGTATATGTGTGTGTGTGTGTGTGTGTTGGGTGAGCCTGCGGCATTGAAAGACCTTCGAAGACGCCGCACAAACGCACAGGCATGACGTGCATATTAAGCGAAAAGGACTCGCACACACACACACACACTTAGCTCGAATGAATGCGAAGTCATTGCCGAGTCGGTTGTGGGCGGACACGGACGGCTAGGCTAACGATTACTTTGGCTCATTTAGCGCACCGCCAATTGCAGGTCTCCTTTGGCTCCACATCTCCGGCTCTGAGCGATAGACGAGAGTTCCCCTATTTCTATCGCACCGTGGCCCCAGATTCATCGCACAATCCGGCTCGGATTGCTTTCATACGTCGCTTTGGCTGGGACACCGTCACCACATTCTCACAGAACGAAGAGGTTCATTCGCTGGCGGTCAATAATCTGGTGACCGAGCTGGAGGCCGCCAATATATCATGTGCGGCGACAATCACATTTGCAGCCACAGATTTTAAGGAGCAGTTGCTGCTCCTACGCGTAAGTATAGATACATATTCGTACTCGTACAGTAGTCATAAAGCGTTGATTGCGTCTCGTAAACATGACAAATGAGCTGCGATACAATTTTCATCATACAATGCTTTGCACTTCACTCCTCTGGCAGGAAACCGACACACGCATCATTATCGGCAGCTTCTCACAGGAATTAGCGCCGCAAATCCTCTGCGAGGCGTATCGCCTCCACATGTTTGGGGCGGACTATGCCTGGATATTGCACGAGAGCATGGGCGCTCCTTGGTGGAATAGCGCTCAGACCCCCTGCACCGGCCTCGAGCTACAGCAGGCCGTCGAGAACCTCATTGTCGTCTCCACCCACAACAGTATTGTGGGCAACAATGTCAGCTACAGCGGGCTGGTAAGTGAGTGACTGCCACAGAGATCTCTGTCCGTCCCCCGCCTTCCCTCTGTCCCCGTCTCCATTTCGATTTCTGTCTCTGTTTGCTTTGCAGATTGCTCGCGACAAATGCTCCGTCCTCCGTCCATTGTCCTCTGTTGTCTGTGTCTGTTTATATGACCAGCCACCGTCCCCTGTTGCTGTTATTGTTGTTATTGTATGTGACGCAAATAAAATGATTTATTTGATTAGAAAATCCCAAAGACTAGGCTGGTGCTCAAGTGGCATTGTCGCCATCGTCGATGTCTTCGTTCGCGTAGACGCGTGCCAACGTTTTTATTGTTATTTAAGCGTTCATTTACGATACCAGCAACAGCAGCTGTACAGTGGAACTTATCTATAAAGAACGTAATGCCACATATTTCAACAGAAACCCGAAGTTAAAGACTAACTAAACTTCTAGATGACTTCATATATTTCTTAAATAAACAATAATGTGCTATTTATTAAAATCATTTATGTACATGCATATACAAATATTTATGCATTGGTTTTCATGAGAACATCTAAATACGATATTTAATATAATTCCCAATCTAAAAAAAAATGTAGTTTCATCAGCTTTAAATTACTTATATAGATCGAATACAAAGGCTCTGCGCTAATAAAACCTTTTAAACCCTATATTTCTAGTTGTTCGTTTTCAAAAAACCAATTCAACTCAATAAAACTCGTTAAATCGAAGCTCGATAATTTTCATTTCAATTCATATTAAATAAGAATAAAAATCAATATATGTTCTTGCACATTCCGTTTTGAAATTCATTGCTTCAATAGAAAAACCACTTTAAAATGATAATCAGCTAATAAACCCATTAATATTACTCGTATTTGTTAATTTTATGAATAGAATCCTTTAAATCTGAAAATTAAAGTGTAGTTGTTCCTCGGTCTATCCCACATATCGAAATAGATTTCACTCTTGCTGTCAATCTACAAAGTCTACTTTAAATAAGCCGAACAATTTCCTTCAATTAAATAAAATATCTTTAGGTGTACGGATTCATTCAAAATTAAAATAAATATGACTTTGTATGCGATATATTTATTTTAAAATTACTGCCAAATCCGAAAAACCTATTCAAGAGTGTTATTTTATAATTATTATTAGAGTAGCTCTGCTCTGCTCACCGAACCTTAGGCTCCCCCATTCTAGTAAATGCCATTTTCTCTTTTTTAATGTCTCTCAAAGAGAGTCAATTATCAATACTTAGTGTCCACTGTGGCAGAAAATAAAAAAAAGCAAAATGACGAGCCAGCATACTCATTAAAAGCGCCGCCTTGCCAACAAGGAAGGCCCATGATGGGGAATGCGAGCGAAATGTGGTTGCTGCCGTTTAATCGCTGCACATTTTCCAATTCACAGAACAATCACATGTTCAACTCACAACTGCGCAAACAGTTTGCACAATTCGAAAGCTGGAACGTTGGCAGCGACCGCAGCCGCAACGCTGGAGGCGGCAGCGGCACCCAAAATGCAGGCAACCGCAGCTCAAAAACAATCAGGCGCAGCTCTATGCCACAAACGGATTTGGGCAAGCGCAGGCGTAGGCGTGGCACCACACGCCTCAACCCGGACGCCATCTCCCGCTACGCCCCCCAGACCTACGATGCGGTGTGGGCCATCGCGTTGGCTCTGCGCGCTGCCGAGGAGCAATGGAGACGCGATGCCAAACAATCCAAGCTAGATGGCTTCGATTACACGCGCAGCGACATGGCCTGGGAATTTCTACAACAACTGAGCAAATTGCACTTCCTTGGTGTTTCGGTAAGTGTGTGCACGAACTTAATCTGCAGCCAGGGCCCGACTTAACCCCACCCTCCGCACAGGGACCCGTGTCCTTTAGCGGTCCCGATCGCGTGGGCATCACCGCATTCTATCAAATACAGCGCGGAATGCTGGAACCCATCGCTCTCTACTATCCAGCCACCGATGCTCTGGACTTCCGTTGTCCGCGCTGCCGTCCCGTCAAGTGGCACAGCGGCCAGGTGCCCATTGCCAAGCGCGTGTTCAAGCTGCGAGTAGCCACCATAGCGCCCTTGGCGTTCTACACCATTGCCACGCTATCCAGTGTGGGTGTTGCGCTGGCCATTGCATTTCTGGCCTTCAATCTGCACTTTCGCAAGCTCAAGTAAGTTTGACTTGGTGTCGTGTTTACCCAAAATCGTGTAAGTTTGCACGCCAGCACAGTGGTTCGGGGAAATTGCAAAAAAAAAAAATCTGATAAAATGTGGTAGATTTGAGAAATAGTGAAAGGAATGGAGTAAAAAGAGTTCACAGCTTAGGGCTTCAATTATGTGCAATTAATGTTTACTAAGTATTATAAGTTTTCAGAAATAATTGTGAAAAATAAAGATAGATAATTCAATTGGATTGAAATATAGACCAAGTAAAAGATATAAAGAACAATTTAAATGAAGAAATGATTTATTGTTTTGACTAAGTCGAGTATTCTAAAACATTTGAAAATACCAAACACTTAATACCAACTATCAAACTATAAAACACGGTATTAACAAGTAAAAAAGCTAAAGTCGGGTGTCCCGACTTTGAAATACTCTGTACATATGTTTACAATAATTATAGAAAATAAAAAAATTAAGAAAATAAAAAAAAAAATTTGATCGATTTTACCTCTCTCGGTATTCGAACTCACGTAAAGGGTGTATAATTGCACATTTACATAGCAATTGCGTCTGTGTGAGTGTATGTATGCCTATACGCATCTATTCGTGTCTGTGTAAGCATTTTCGCAGTCAACCAAACAGCAACATCAACAACAGCCCCGGGCAGCGCTTGAGCAGCGCTGCAGCAGCAAATATATTTATGGCTATAACTTCTTGTTAAATCGGTCTATCATAGTGAAACTTGGCATACGGACACATAATTACTAACTGGGGGTATTTGCAAAATTTTAGTTTGAAATTCCAAGAATTACGGGAGTTAGAGAAAATCGCATTTGCGGGGTAGAGGGGGGAGGGAGGGAAATTCCAAAATATACATTTTCTGCGTATTCACACAAGGCACCTTGGATTTAAATTTGGTGTTCTTAGGTCTTATGGTCTTCGAGATATAGGCGATTATACGAATGGAAAATCGGGAAAACCCCCATAGGGGGGAAATGGGGGGAAAATCAAAAAAATAAAACAAACTCGTATAGAATATACACATAACGCATCTTTGTGCAAAATTTGGTGTCTCTATCTCTTATAGTCTCTGAGATCCAGGTGTTCATACGGACGGACAGACGGACAGACTGACAGACGGACAGACGGACAGACAGACAGACAGGGCTAGATCGACTCGTCTCGTCATGCTGATCAAGAATATATATACTTTGTGGGGTCTGCCACGCCTCCTTCTGCCTGTTACATTTTTCAGCTCCCGCAAACCTAATATACTTCTGTACATTTCATGTACAGAGTATAAAAATTGGAAAAGCTCGACAGAAGAAACCTTGTAACAAATTTAAGCGGCTTAGCACACATCTGCTGGCACTTGCAAGAAAGTTCTTGGTTCACTCAGTCTATAAAAGCAAAACAAAGTACATCAGAATCTCTGTCAATTGTGCTAAAGCTGGCTAGTATGACATTATTTGTAAAATGTACTTGGTATCGACGAACTCGCATGAAAGCTGGTCACACTATTCTGCATGAATACTACAGCATCTATTCTACATCAATTCTGATTAAATTAGTAAACGAAATTGTATTCATTAAAGAGAGAAGAAATAAAATTCGTCAAATTATATATTGCCAAGATATAGGAAATATGTCATATCATGAAATATTACGTATGACAGCTTTATAGCCGTGTATTTAAAAATCTTAAAATATCAATTAAAATAATTCCTTTAGTTGAAGAACTTTGAGAAATATATACATATATAGTTTATAGGCAAGAAATAAAATTCGTCAGTTTGCATTGCCAAGGTATAGGAAATATGTCATATCATGATATATAGCGTATGACAGCCGTGAATTTAAAAATCTTAAAATCTCAATTAAAATAATTCCTTTACTTAACGAACTTTATGAAATGCTTATATGGTTTACTTTTAATAGCATAACATAGTTAGAAAGTTGGGGCAAATCAAAAATAATACATTAATTTGTATTCTTTTGGAAATTAGTAAGAATTTTTGTAATTCGAAAAAGATGTCTGCAGAATGACTGCTTTTAGACTTTGCAGAGATTCCTAGAATTTGGCATTAGAATGAGTTTAATTCAATGGCACTTTACGTAATTGCGCTCCACTGTAGAGGCGTTCTATTGTGCTTTGGTTTTGTTATTTGTATTTGTCGTGCTAACCCCATCTCTCGTTCTTCTCCTCCCTTCCCTTTCTTTGACATACCCTTTTTATTCCATAGAGCAATTAAACTTTCAAGCCCGAAACTCAGCAACATCACCGCAGTGGGCTGCATCTTCGTCTATGCCGCCGTCATCTTGCTAGGCCTGGACTACTCGACGCTGCCCTCGGCCGCGAGCTCCTTTGCCACAGTTTGCACGGTGAGTGTGTGTGTGTGTGTGTGTGTGTGTGTGTGTGACGAGTACATACATATATGTTCTTACTTATATGTATATATGGACATACGTATGAGTGCTTTTGTTTGACTTTGCTGCGTTATGTAAGCAACATTGTCGTTGACGTTCCACCAACTGCCGCCGCTGCCAGAGTCGCTCCCCAGTTGACGAACTCTTGAGCTGCCTCATCAAATATGACTTTCAGTTTGTGCTCCAAGTTTTTCAGCTCATGTGTTTATTTTATTCACGCGCTATAAATAGCTGCAACTTTGACTTTATTTATTTTTTTTATATTACTCTTTATGGCATTTATATACATTTTTTTTTTTGTTTTTGGCTAGCATCTGGAAAATCTTTGGAAATCTTGGCAATTCTTTAGTCTGACTGCTAAAAGGCTTTTGGTCTAGGCTGAAAGCAAAAGTGCGCATAAACTTTGGCTGGCAGATGCCGTCGCATTGGCTAACGAGGACCATCAAATTCGTTTCCATTCCCTTTCTCTCTGTCTCTCAGTGTGTGTAAGCCTCCAAAATGCCACTCCAGGGAAATTTGCAGCATGTTTGTTGCTGTTGCTGCTGCTGCTGCTGTGTGTCACTTTTTTCTTGCTGCTGGTGTTGTTCACTCCTATTGTTGAACAGCAGGCATCATGTAACGGCCCAGCAGCAACTACAAACACATGACACGCAAATTTACAACTTTTGTGATATTCTTTATTTGCATAAATTTGAGACATGCCACAAAGGCAAACACAGCAGGAGCCAACAGCAGCATCACCAAAAAGAGACGACCCACTTCACCTTCGAGCATGTGCAACCCATTCCACTAATCATACACACACACACACATCATAAACGAGAGCCGTATGAAAGGTTCTTGGGAATTGATAGACACTTATCAACCAGCCTGTCAAAATACATTCCTTCTTATTGATTTTGAGATGAGCACTTACCATCTTTTTAATAGTCAGTCAATAGAAGCCGTTCCTCAACGTTGCAACAAATATTGTAAAGTAATATTTGAGTGAAGAAATATATGTATCAATTATTTTTATAAATGTGTAAGCTTGAGAGTGCCTTTTTAAAAGATAACCGCCTTTTTTGACAAATATTCAAAATACTCGAAGAAATTGTCCTCCTATTCCAAATTTTCAAAATACTTACATCGACCAAATTTTTATTCATCGTTTTTTTAAGACACTAGTTATTGCCTCCAAATATTTTTTTAAATATATAATATATTTAAAATAAGATAAACGCCTTTTTTGACATATATTCAAAATACATCGAAGAAATTGTCCGCCTTTTTGCAAAATATTCGAAATACTTACATGGATAAAATTATCCGTTCATTAGTCCGTCATCGTTTGTTTTTTTTTTTTAGATGCTAGTTTTTGCTACTAAATTTGCAAGAAATATTCTAAAGGAATACTTGAGTGCATATATGTATCAAATATTTTTTTTATATATATATAAATTTAAAAAAAAAGATAACTCCTTTTTTTGACAAATATTCAAAATACATCAGAGAAATTGTTTTCCTTTTTTCAAAATATTCAAAATACATCGACAAAATTATTCGTTCATTAGTCCGTTATCGTTTTTTTTTATTAAAGACACTAGTTTTTAAGCAATTTCTAAAGGAATATTTGAGTGCATATATGTATCAAATATATATATACTTGTAATATTAAAATAAGATAAGATATTTTGACAAATATTCAAAATACATTATACACGAAATTATCCGCCCATTAATCCGCTAAAGTGTTTTTTAAGATACAAGTTCTTGCTTCCATATTTAATATTTAATGAACTTATTTTTTACAGCCAATACACATGTTATTTGATCAACTGGCTAATAATTTGATTTACTTCATTTGTTGCTTTAAGTAACTTACTTAATTACCACAAATAATTTGCTTATTAAAAATATAATAATTTTTGAAAGAAACCCCGTCTTACGTTAAGTCTTGTGTCTGTTAATTTTGAAATACTTTTTCAAACCCACACTTGAAAGCTAGTCTGAAAATTGTACTCCCCCCATTTCCAGAGAGTTGCACTGCAGATTAGTTTAAAAAGTGGTTGCTTTCAACTATTTTGAAGATGTTTCCAAACTTCTCATACCACCCTAGAGATAGAAAAATTACAATATCAGCAAGCTCGCTTATTTTTTCAGGCACGTGTGTATTTGCTGTCGGCCGGCTTCTCGTTGGCCTTTGGCTCCATGTTCGCCAAGACGTATCGTGTGCATCGCATCTTCACACGCACCGGCAGCGTGTTCAAGGATAAAATGCTGCAGGACATACAGTTAATTTTGCTCGTGTGTGGCCTGTTGCTTGTCGATGCGCTCGTCGTCACACTGTGGGTCGTCAGCGACCCAATGGAAAGGCATTTACATAATTTGACACTTGAAATCAGCGCCATTGATCGAAGCGTTGTCTATCAGCCCCAGGTAGGTCGTTGCTCCCTTACAATATAATAAATATTTTCGTATTGTATGCGTGTGTGTCTGTGTGTGTTTTTGTTGTTTTTGTTGTTCTTGTTGACTTTTTGGCACGCACAACAAATATTGCCAACTTATGCCCATCTTATCCTTATCCTCCCCCCATTTACATGCCGATATATATTTTTTTTCGCCTCAGGTCGAAGTTTGTCGCTCACAGCACACACAAAGTTGGTTGGGCGTGTTGTACGCCTACAAGGGCCTGTTGTTGGTTGTGGGCGTTTATATGGCCTGGGAGACACGTCATGTGAAAATACCAGCACTCAACGATTCCCAATACATTGGCGTCTCCGTCTATAGTGTGGTGATAACCAGCGCCATTGTCGTCGTTCTTGCCAATTTGATATCGGAGCGAGTAACCCTCGCCTTTATTACGATAACAGCATTGATACTCGCCTCGACGACAGCAACCTTGTGCCTCCTCTTCATACCCAAGCTGCATGATATTTGGGCACGCAGTAAGTAACTTCTGTTTTCTAGCTATAAAGTAACATTGAGTATTAATTAAAAAAATTATTATAATTTAGTAAATATTATTGTTTTTAAGAGTACTTCGATTTTATTTGAATTTAATAACCAGGCATATTAACAGATAGGGAGTGTATAAATCTGTCTTTAAAAGCTACAAACCAGGCAAAAATCTTAGCTTAATTAGCCAATATTTTAAACAGAGCTTCTTTAATATCTGGCGCTAAAAGAAGTCTAATTTAATGAAATCTTACTTCATTCTTTCAAATTCCCAGACATGATAGTCAGTGTACGATTAAGACAACAAATATATAGTACAACTAATTCTGTCTTTTTTTACACGGTTTTGATTTAATACGGCTTGAAAATTAAAAATGTTATATATAGTTACGCGACATTATTCCATTTAGCACGATTTATGATTTATCAATGATAAATCAATGATGATCAATGTCTTTTTTACACGGTTTTTTACACGACTTTTTCTAGAACCAATCTACCGTGTAGAAACAGAATTAGTTTTACTTCCAATGATGAGACGTCTGAACTATATTATTTAAAGCAAATTCGCTCTACAACTACTTACTTAAATTATTTCCCCCCCTACGGTATTAAGTTTCCGTTATCTATATTATCTTGCTTACAGACGACATTATAGATCCGGTCATTCACAGCATGGGCCTCAAAATGGAGTGCAATACACGTCGTTTCGTGATCGATGATCGTCGTGAGCTGCAGTATCGCGTTGAGGTGCAAAATCGCGTCTATAAGAAGGAGATACAGGCATTGGATGCCGAAATCCGCAAGTTGGAGCGCATGCTGGAGTCGGGCACTGCCTCCACGACCACTTCGTCCTCCACCTCGCTGCTGGGTCATCTCAAGCCAGAGGTAACAGTAACCAGTGGCGCCTCTCTACAGCTGCCAGCAACACAGACTCTGCCACAGCCCCCACCACACCCCAGCAAATCGCGCACCCCAAGCATTTCGGGCATACTGCCGAACTTGTTGCTCTCCGTGCTGCCGCCAGTTATACCTCGAGCCAGTTGGCCATCGGCAGAGTATATGCAAATACCGATGCGACGCTCAGTCACCTTTGCCTCACAGCCGCAGCTCGAGGAAGCCTGTCTGCCCACACAGGATTTGATTAATTTGCGTCTGGCACATCAGCAGGCCACCGAGGCGAAGACAGGACTCATTAATCGACTGCGCGGCATTTTCTCGCGCACCACTTCCAGCAACAAGGGCTCCACGGCCAGTCTCGCAGATCAGAAGGGCCTCAAGGCGGCCTTCAAATCCCACATGGGTCTCTTCACGCGTCTCATTCCCTCCTCGCAGACGGCCTCCTGCAATGCCATTTACAACACACAGCTAGATGGCAACAATGCCATCAGCAATGGCAATGGCACGGCAGCTGCCACAGCCACGGCCCACTTGAAGCCCATGCATCGCGGCTCCCTGACCAAAAGTGGCACCCATCTGGATCTGTTGACCAAAGATCCAAACTTTTTACCCATACCCACCATATCCGGCTGCGAGCGATTCGACGAAACGGGCGGTAAGTACGTGAAGCTGCCCGAGACTAAGGTAAACTTTCAGCTGCCAAGCAATCGACGACCATCGGTGGTGCAACCCATGGCCCCGCCAAGCTTGAGAGAGCGTGTACGGGGCTCGCCACGCTTTCCACACCGCATCCTACCGCCCACCTGCAGCCTCAGTGCGCTGGCCGAGTCCGAAACGGATCGTGGCGCCCAGACAAGCAGTGAGGTGGGCAGCTGCAAGTCCATTCCACGCATCTCACTGCAACATGCCACCAGCGGGGGCAACTGGAAGTCCATGGAGACGGCGGCTAAGTCGCGTCTATCGCTCGGCGATTCACAAGAGGAGCAATTGAATCAGACGGCCCAGGTCTGTGAGGCACCATCTAATGGTCTGGACTAGCTCTTCTCACGATTGAAACAACAACTATTATACATACTATATAGATTCATGTAGCAGCCGCGTCCAATCCCCCTTGTCTCCTTGTCAATTAGAACGTGAACACCAAGCAATTATTTTTGAACGGACAGCTGCGTTCAAGGCGCGCCTGCAACTGACCAATCGGCTTAAAGCAATCAAAGCATTAGCATATGTAACTAGTTAAGTTATCCAAGCCAAAAAGTAGCTAGTCATCTAACTCACATACCAGTCGGTAAATCTTTAATATATTTCAGCTCAAAAGGTATTAAACTCCTACAACTTATCAGTTTTTTAACTGAAACCAAAACTACAAAATTAATTTGGTTTGTCAGCCAATTTTCAATATTTTGTTTATCTTTGATACTATACGATCAGTATATATATCTATATTTTTTATTCAATATTATAATATTGGATATATCGATGCCCGACATTCCCATTTTACCTCATTTGGACTGAATACTATCAATTCGATTTCTTTATATATTGAGCTGCAACAATGTTTTACAAACTTTTATTTTTGTATTTCTAACGTTTTCGGGAATTTTGAAATCTATTCAATTGAAAAGAAATTAATAAACAAAAATAGGTCTTAAACTCCTACAACTTATCAGTTTTTTAAGTGAAACCGAAATTACGCGTTTTATTTGTCAGATAACTTTCAATTTGTTGCCTAACTTTGATACTATAAGATCAGTATATATCTATATTTTTTTATTCTATATTATAATATTAGATCTATCGATGTCCGACATTCCCATTTTACCTCACCAATTCGATTTCTTTGTATATTGAGCTTTTTAGCAGCGACAATGTTTTACAAACTTTTATTTTTGTATATCTAACGTTTTTGAGAAATTATTGAAATCCATGCAATTGAAAAGAAATCAATAAACAAAGATAGTTTAATTTCGATATGCCGAATGCAAAGCTTTGCTGTAAATAATTTAATCAAAGTGAAATAGTTGCGAGCATTCTAAAATATAAATATTATATTATATTGATATTACGTATTAACTGTGAAACAAACCCGGCTAAATACCCTTTGCGTAGATCAAATATAGTATATCTGTTATCATATTAAACTCCAAATTGTGATGCATTCCTGTCCTGTCTGTACCTACTATAATCGTATTGTAGTTCCCCCCTCTCTCCATGTACGTTTCTGTGTAAGTTTCACGTGTTTCTGTTTGCTTTTGGGCCAAGAAACTAATAAGTTGAAACGTTGTGGCCACATACGGTATCAAGCAAGCAATACTACTTACTTTAGGGTTACTTAGAACTAGGCCAAAAGTCGCCGGTATAAGATGATGATTAATTAATTGCATTAGTTGTGTAGAGTCATCCGCACACATAGGAGTATTCATATACTCTCGTACATATTAGTATGTGCTCGTATGTAAGGCAAATGTATGTGTGAAGTAGTTGTGTAGACATTAGGAGCCAGCTCAAAACTAAGCTAAGTAACTAAGTTTTAGCATTAGCGATGTAATCCACAAATTCCAGACCCTTCTAGACACTCAAGTCAACTCGAAACCCCAAGTCAAGGTGCATAGACGCATAACTTCAATAAACAAAAAGCAAAACGAATGCCAACAAACAAAAAATAAATGATTAATTAATTAAAGTTGTTTTATTGAGTGTGTGCCAACAAAGAGAAATGACTTTCTGTAAGGACGGGGAAAATGAGTTTGCTGCTGCAACAAATAAAACGAAACTGTCAGCTCCATCGGATCCTGGCAAGGACACGCACTCACCTCGCCCAGCCATAGAGAGTTACACCAATTGCCCGAATGAACAAAGGACCAAAACTAATAGAGTACGCTGCTTAAGTTGACATTGCAATTTGTTATTATAAATAAATAAATAAAATCGCATGAGCGCCAAATGTTGAGTGAAGCGGGCGGCTCTGCTCCTTTCCATTCCGTTCACTACGGCTCGGTTCGTTGCTCCCAGCATGCTAACCAGTCGCAGGTCCTACCCGTAACTGGACACGTGTAATCCGGGCTTGTCGCCAGCAGACTACGGCAGCAAACTACGACAGCAATGGACGCGTGCGTTCGCCGTGTGAATTTATCTTTGTGCTCGTAAAACAAAAAGGAAATGCAAAAAAAGGAAGAGAGCTCTCATGAAACGAAATCGGCCAAATAAACAGCGCAGACAGCAGCGGTGACAATGAATATGTCCACATATTTCTCCGGCTGGGCAAGCAGCATGAAGATTTATAAGGCCAACAGCCTTATGCCACACACACACACACTTACAAAAAAATGCACATCACGTACACTGAAAAAACAAAAGCGAATTTGCATAAAAACTGTGGTGACTCATAATTTTCCTTTTATCAAATAAAACTGAATCTGTTAAAGGAGAGGAAAAGTATTGGTAATTAGGTAAGCTGAAAACGAAATGAAAACAGAAAAGGAAAAAGAACCAAAATGTTTGTAGAAGGTACATTCTTTGGCTCACTGTAGTTGGGCTTATGTAAAAAAAAAGAAATGTGCAAAAATACTATCAACAGCAGTCGTTGAAGTATTAGATTCTCCATCTAAATAGTTAGGCAGGTGACAATACTTTACTATAAACTATTATTAAACAGTGGCTCGGAAGTAAATATCATCACTAAAAAGTTTAAGCGCTAATTTAAATTAAAAGCAGAAAACCACAAAGTTCAACTCTGAAACTGAGGTGTAAATTAGTGAAAAAAAAAACAAATTCTATCAAATATGCCAAAGAAAAGTTTTAAAATTGGAAATATTCCACACCAAATACAATTAGCGGATCCATAGCCTAACATTCCGCCAGGTATTGTGCATGCAACTGAAAGATCTGGAAAGGTTACCATTATTACTGATAGCTGTCTACAAGTCTTTAAGATCCTCTTACTCTCCAGGTGTAGACAATATTCCTAGTTGTATACTCAAGGAGTGTTCTAGATCCCTCTTACAACCATTGCTTAAACTCTTTAATCTGTCGCTTGATTCTTCAATCTTTCCAGATATATGAAGAGAATCTTTTATAATTCCTTGAAAAAATAGTTTGTGGCACTTTGCAGCACCTCTGCAAATCTGTCATATCTCCTGCTCAACATGGTTTTATTAAGAGACGGTCTATTACGACGAATTAACTTGAATTTACTTCCTTGGTAAATGAAGAATTTTTTCTAAAAATGCAGACTGATGTTATTTAAACTGACTTCAGTAAAGCATTAGAGTCTGTAAACCAAGACCTTCTGCTCTTTAAGCTTAGTCGCATAGGATTTCCCGCCGCTTTATTGTGTTGGATTTCGTCCTATTTTATTTAATTTTTCAATTTTACGACTAGGCTATTTGGAAAAATTGCAGAATATATTACCCAAAGAAAGTTCTGATTGATTAAACTTAAATGCACCCGAAAGATCTTTGGTTGCTAAGTGTAATTAAACTAGTCACTAAAATTTAAAAATTTAAATCACAAATAGAAGTCATTTACTTCAGAAATTGTAAATCTTATGCAGGAACGATATATACTTGTAGTACATGAATACCATTAGTCGTGAGCTAACTTAGATTCTGAAAAACATAAAGTAGTCTCATGCCCTTGTCTAATGAAAATAATTTAAATAGTAAACTAGAAGAATTTTTACTCTAAATTAATGAATTTTGTTCAAAGAAAGACTTAAGTCTTTTTTTTCTCAGTGTATGCACAAGTGCGCTTAATAAAATGCGTCGTTTGCTGCCAGTCTTTACATTTGTTTTATTACACCTTATCCTTTAGGCTTGTTGTTGTTATTGTTGTTTTGTGGAGGAGAGCACAAAAAAGGTTTATTTATTGCGCATATTTCAGCCGATTCTTTGTGTCAATGCGAAGGAGGACCCCAAAAACATTTGCGGGCTCTGGCGCTGCAATTATTAATTTTAATCAAGCTAATTAATATGGTCAAGTTTTTTGGCAACATTGCACACACACACACACACACACAGACACACAGAGAGAAAGCCATATAGACATGCACAACAATAATGAATAAAAATGTGGCTGTGTACTTTATTCGTTCGGTGCTTTGACAAATGAACTGCTACCACGACCCTCCGGGGCAACAATTGCTCGATGGTCCAGGAAGGAAGTCGTGAGAGAGGGGCGGGCTGCCACAAAAGGACCCCGGCATTGTGTGTGTGCCACAAGTGACCTTGGTGGCACGGAAGCCTCGTTGTACGTGCCTTTTAAAGCAATCGTTGTAGCTGCTCTCAGATGCTCGACCTCATTAAAGTTAAAGCCTTCCAGAGTTCATGTAATTAACGCATTAGCCAAGCAATTTATGTGTATGCCAGAATGCATTAAATCGCACCCACACAACTACACATATGCCCTGAATTTACTTTGCTTTATTGCGGCAAATTATGCGCTTATTAGGCACCTGACGGCGCCAGCATCTCCCGAGTATTCCTAAGCTGATGCCAATTATTCAGGCTTATCGAAATTCGACAGCAGCCAGCAAATTAAAGATATGCTTTGTGGCTGCCGCTCACACAGTGCTAAGCAGTAAGTATTTATTTGTGTGTTTTGCAGTTTGCAGCCTTGTAAGTGTATTTCGATTGGCTCTATTGGGCATAAAATAGATGGGATCTGTGTACCAGCCAGGCAGTGCTGTGACTACATATTGGGACTTGTTCACACAAATGGTAGGTTATTGTTTGGAATTCATTGCGATTTGTAAATCTTGTATTTAGGAGTAAAGTAAGTAGAGCAATATTTTATGCAAATGGTAGAACTTAATTAAATAAATCAGTTATGAATACACTTGTTCTAGTTAAACGACCTAGAAATCTTTAAAAAGCACAAAACAACTCCTTAGCCAACTGCCAATTAGACAAGAATATAAGAGCTTAAACAGAAATATACATTTCCTTTTTTTCTACATGAATCAAAAGGATGAAATAGAAAGGAATGGGTTATCAATCTTGATGGCACAAACCTTTTGTCAGATATCAAACTAACTATTTATAAATAAGCCCAACGCGATTTTTCTTCAAAAATGTAAATAGAAAGTTTGTGGTAATAATTTTTACAATGAAACCAATAGAGAAAAATAATAGCATTTAGTTACCAAACTTTTAAGGACATGTATGTATTTCTTAATATTATCAACTCAAGTTCTTATCTTCAAAAAGAAACTAACTTAGTTGCAATGGAAATAGCTAAATAAAATCATTATAAAATTATTGTGCAAAATAATTTAAAATGGAACAGATTATAAAATGGAATGGATGTAAAAAAAAAAAAAATCACCGTAAAATTTTAAACTGTTGTAAGGAATAGAAATATTGTTTCCAACTGTTTAGAGAAACTGTGCTTGGCCAAAATACTTTACAAATTCTAGAATCTAAATATTATTTTTAAATAACAAACAATTTAGTCAAATTCCATATAAACTGGAACAT